AGATATTTCATCTTTTCTTCAATAAGTAATCATAAAATTCATTATCTGAATATCACAAGAGAAATACTTTCATATATGGATCAAACATAACTAAAAGAAAATTGGAATTGACACAGATCGATTATGATCATATTATGGCTCACAATATAAGGTCTAAAACAAATTGTTTCCTGAAATGTCAGTCTATTTTCAAAAGTATTGTGATCTTTGCCTTTGACACGATGGCCCAAAATCAAAGGTAATTTTATTCTTTCATATGGGTATTTTCTAGACAGGTGTAATGGAGGGTCGATATCATATGATTTAAAACATATCATTGGGAATGTGACTTAAGGTTGTCCAAATTTCAAACTATAATTTGCAGCTTTGACTTGACCTTTGGCGAACTGACATTGAAATCAATACGGGACTTTTTCACCACAAGGTGAATTATCAAATATCTCACTTTGACTGAAAAGATATAATTTGGAGACTTAAAGTTTTCCAAAATGTATTCATAAGTAGTGTGACATTGACATGTTGATTGACCTTTGATCTACAGACCCAACAATTAATGTTGTAACTAAGGGGCATTCTCAAGCTGTTTTGTGACGATTTAACATACATGGTTCAAACGATATCATCTGGAAAGCCAATTTTTACCTCAATTGTTGCTGTGACCTTAAACTTTGATATTATGATCTTAAAATCTGTAATTATTTTCCTCCCCATGTAGCATTATCAAACCGATTTTGAGGTCATGACGTCAAAGGTAAAGGTCAAAAAAACTATTGATAGACTAAAATTGTTCAAAATTCGGGTTTTTACAGAAAATATCTTTGGAATCATATGACCTACAAATCTATAGTTTCTATCTCTCCTCGTCGAATATTTTGGAAATACAAAGACAGCATTCAACCTATAATAAGTCGTTCTGAACAATGCATGAAATATTCTCCACTGGACGTTAAGCAACCAACAATCAGCCAATCCTATAATAAGCTAAGTTTTCTATCATGTTAACTGCAGATTTTGTCAGATTATAAGCTAACATTGTAACTGCTAAGCCTGTATACATCTGTAGTTCAGATAAATGTTAAATGATTTCTCCTAATTTACCAAAGCTTCAACCAAAGATGACACTATCTAAAATAGCCCTTTTCCCAAATTAATAGATCACCAAAGATGACCTAATCTGGATTGTTTATATGTGCTTATATTGATCTGTCATCCCAGGGCCTTTTAAGTGCTTACTATACAGTATGAGTTTTGCTCAATGTTAAAATCTGTACAGCGACATATAGTTGCTCACATCTACGTAATTTGGTCTATCGTGGATAGATGTCTCATTGGTAATCATACCTCATCATCTCATTTTCATATCGTTAATGAATTAACAGAAATAAGGTAATAAAAAATACAATTAATACTGATATATAATTTTATTATGATCAATGTTAGGATACTAATTATACTAAAAAAAAAAATTCTTATATTACAATATATGATACAAAACAGTGAGTAATTATTTTCACCGAAAATTTTAATTCTTGTACATTTTACAATTCATTACAAAATTGCAGAATGATTACAATTAGCTATTCAATGAATACAACTATAAGATTCAGAGTCTGAATTGCTCACATGACGCCTATTTACTGTTTAGTTAAATACTAATACCGTCATATGTAAGCCGAATACAGGAGAACAGCAAAGCAAATGAATCCCCTTTTATCCAAATAGTCTACATATGTAGCGAAAATTATCTTATAGAAGACTCTCATGATATTTCTTTTAAAGAGTTACATATAGTCTTTATGAGTTATTAGCCCATATAAATTTAGCAATACTTCATGGAACACAGTAAGGTCAAAAAATGAAAAAAAAAATCATTGTATAAATGAAATCAAGGAAACACTTGAAAGACTTTATCAATTTGTAGGTACAAGTAGTTACTCCACAACATTCAAAGCTGTGATGTTGAAAATTTATTTCAAACAGGGGGATACTCAAAAACAGTGGTAGCTCATTAGAGGAATTACTCAGATATTTTAAAAGCTGCCAAAAAGAATGAAACTTTTTGATGTGATTACTACGAACAACAAAATGAAACTTCTCTATATCATTTTTTAAAAATAATAACATAATTCTAAAAGGGATAGCCCATCTACAAACAAAGTAGTTCATACTCGATTAAATCATTAGCTTAATACACATAGATTGGACTGTTTTTGTGATAGACCTATGCATGGACAAATACATTCTATTTAAATCTGTAAAACTATATACAAGTAACATAAGTTCTGTAGAGGTTATAACATATCAATATAATTAGTTCATTTAAATATTCCTCCATTTCTGTAAATCTAAGACATGGCATACACAAATATATGATTTACAACACAGGGAAAACAAATTAAAGCAGGCACAAACATAAGTAATATATGTCTTTAAAAACACAATAAGTAATTATAGCATTGACAAATGAAAAATTATGAAAATTCTAATTCTTGTACATTTTACAATTCATTACAAAATTGCAGAATGATTACAATTAGCTATACAATGAATACAACTTTAAGATTCAGAGTCTGAATTGCTCACATGACGCCTATTAACTGTTTGGTTAAATACTAATACCGTCGTATGTAAGCCCATATAAATTTGGTAATACTTCATGGTACACAGTAAGGTCAAAAAATGAAAAAAAAATCATTGTATAAATGAAATCAAGGAAACACTTGAAAGACTTTATCAATTTGTAGGTACAAGTAGTTACTCCACAACATTCGAAGCTGTGATGTTGAAAATTATTTTTGACCAGGGGGATACTCAAAAACAGTGGTAGCTCATTAGAGAAATTACTCAGATATATTAAAAGCTGCCAAAATGAATGAAACTTTTTGATGTGATTACTACGAACAACAAAATGAAACTTCTCTTTATCATTTTTTAAAACAATAACATAATTCCAAAAGGGATAGCCCATCTACAGACAAAGTATTTCATACTTGATTAAATCATTAGCTTTATACACATAGATTGGACTGTTTTGTGATAGACGTTGTAAATATAACGGAATTTGATGAGACTGTCGTACAAGTGAGAGGTTTAGCGCTATAAAACCAGGTTTAATCCACCATTTTCTACATTTGAAAACGCCTGTTCCAAGTCAGGAATATGACAGTTGTTGTCCATTCGTTTGATGTGTATTGTCATTGATTTTGCCATGTGATTATGGACTTTCCGATTGAATTTTCCTCGGAGTTCAGTATTTTTGTGATTTTACTTTTTTTTTTTTATGCATGGACCAATACATTTTATTTAAATCTGTAAAACTATATACAAGTAACATAAGTTCTGTAAAGGTTATAACATATCAATATAATTAGTTCATTTAAAAACCTCCATTTCTGTAAATCTAAGACATGGCATACACAAATATATGATTTACAACACAGGGAAAACAAATTAAAGCAGGCACAAACATAAGTAATATATGTCTTTAAAAACACAAAAAGTAATTATAGCATTGACAAATGAAAAATTATGAATAAATACTAAAAATTTAACAAGCCTCACATTTTAAATATTTGTATAAAACATTTAAAATTTCAAGATATAAATTTTAAATCTGAATACCTTCTAAAAATGAAATAAAAAGTTTATACTAAAATTTTTCACTGCCACAGCCAGGAAAGCATTCTTACAGGTGACAATCTCTTCTATAATGCCACATTCCTATCAGGTGAGACAACAACATTACAGTAAATACTGATATGTCAAAGAACAAAAATATCAACACCACTGTATGAAATATGTTCCAACACTGATCAAAACAATGACCCTGGTGGTTGAGTACTCACAAATCTTAGTCTAAACTTGTTTATTCGTTTGTTTAAAGAATCTTGATAATGTATTTTGTCATCTCTTTTTAACTTTGTTCAAATTTTCTTGGAATTTTAACTCTGGTGTTGTGAACTTTACACAGTTAGGGTTGTTGTATGACACTTAACACTGTAAAATAGCATCTTGAGGACTATTTTTGTCACACTTGTGTTTGGTTGGTGTTAAAAAAACATAACCGTATCCTTATCTAATAGTTTCACCTGACATGAATGTTATATAATTGCATTATAAAACTTGATTTACACAGTATATATAATCAATGTACGGTAGACTAACCAGACTCAATAAAGAACAAAAAAAATCACAAATGACATAATGCAGCAACCATTTAACTTCAAGGGGGCTAGGAGGGGGGAGGGGTGTGGTTTTTTTCTTAGTCAGACATTTTTTTTTCGCGCAACAAATTTATTTAATTTTTCGACGCGATCAATCAGATTTTTTATTTAACACTATAAGCTATGGGGGGAATTTGCATTCAGAATATTTTTTTTTGTCATCTGCTTGATCAGAATATTTTTTTTCATCAAATTGGGGATCAGGATATTTTTGTTGAAAAAAACCATAACCCCCCCCCCCCCCCCCCCCCCCCCATACACATAAAAGTAAAAATAAAACGGTACCTCATATTTGGGCGCAGTGTAACCGGGTCATACATTCAGTATAACATTGAACCTTTAGCTTGAAAATAAAATAAAACAAAAACTGATCCGACTACACTAACCAAGTGAAAGAAATGTGACTTTATAAAACAATGAAGTAATTTAAAACAACTAAGTAATGGTAGGATTACAATATTTACTAAGTCTGGTAAATTTTTCTTCTTTGTCACCGAAAGAATGTTTTACTGCTTCTAAATTCTAAGTCTGGTCATGAAATAAAGAAAAAAATCAAGTAATGTAAAGATAATCTGCATGTGTAGATATGGAGAGAAAGTAATGACAAGAATTTCGGTAGATATTAAAGACAAATCACAAATACCAATCAACAAGATAAATAAGAAAGAGGGATTTTATCTCATATGCTTCAAGTTTGTTTTACATGTCATAACACACCACTGACGAAAGAACAAGACTTTGAAAAAAAAACCAAAACCACTGACTAAAGAACAAGATTTACGAAGAAAGGTTTTCCTTCTTATTCATGTGTTCTGTAACCATCATTACTATAGATGTATGTCCATTATCTGTTGCAATCTTTAAAGGGGATTTCCCATCAAGTCTACATATCTGTGTATCTGCTCCTTTATCTAACAATAAACGTACAATATCCTCATGTCCTACTTCACATGCATAAAATAATGGTGTTGTTCCATCTTCTTTTGTCATGTTGATGTCAGCATTGTGGTCCAGAAGACACTGAACTACATCCATCCTACCCATAAAACAGGCTATGTGTAATGGGGAAGAACCGGCATCCACACTAAAGACATAATCTGCCGACTTCTTACTGATATAATATCTAGCATATGATGTTGTATTCTTTAGAAAGCTATCAATTAATCCTTGTTTATATTCATCTAATGTTTGGGATTGATCCTTATTTACTGTATCTGTTATCTTTTGTTTACTATAGCTACAAATATTACGGTCAGCATTATTCGCTAACAGTAATTGTGTTATTGCTACGTTTCCTGTCTGTGTACTGAAATACAAAGCATTACCACCATCATGGGTCTGTGCATTAATGTTTGGGTTATGTTTCATTAATAGCTGGACTATTTCGAAGTGGTTACTGATACATGCACTGATCAGTGGTGTAAAACCATAATTGTCACATATATCAACGTTAGGGTCCTTCTTTAACAGTAACTTTACTATGTCAGTATATCCATTCTTACTTGCCATGTACAGAGGACTACAGCCTTCATTGTCACATAGACCAACATTAGGATTCCTCTCTAACAGTAACTTTACTATATCAGTATGTCCTTGCTGACTTGCCATGTACATTGGACTCCGGCCATCATTGTCACATAGATCAACATTAGGATTCCTCTCTAACAGTAACTTTACTATATCAGTATGTCCTTCGTGACTTGCCTTGTACAGAGGACTGGAGCCACCATTTTCACATAGATCTATTTCAGGGTTCTTCTCTAACAGTAACTTTACTATATCAGAATGTCCATTCTGACTTGCCATGTACAGTCCAGTTACCCCATCATCTCTGCATTGATCCACATACACATCATTATGTAACATCCACTGTACCATATCAGTATAACCACTATAACAAGTATCTATCAGTGGAGTATTACCTGATCCACAGTCCTCCTGTGGTATCACTGTATTCTTGGTACCCGCTAATTTTACTTGTTGTGATTTGTCTAGTTGTTGTAAGTACTGTAACAACTTTTGTCTGAATGATGATATCTTCATATTATTGTTACTGAACACATCTGCCACCTTTCCTGCTGACCAGTCTTTTATAAACCTTTCTAAATACGATTCTAAATAATCATTTGGTATTTCAATAATGAATTCTATGTTACTGTTCTGGTCATCTGGTGCTGACTGCCAAATAAAACGTTCATGTACTAAACCACTGTCACCATGATCTATCAAACATTCAATAATTTTCTGACCAAAATAATGAGCAAGAAAGTCAAACAGTTTATCATGTACAGTTTTATAAATACTATTCTGTTTACAGATAAATGTACCATCTAGAGTGTCAAGTGCTTTCTTTAGTTTTGCCTTTGGTATACTGTTGCATTCACAAGCTTCACATGTGTCTGCTATGATATGACGTTGTTCATCTGTCATTTTACCCTGGAACCATTTTTCATTTAGCTGATTATTATAGAGAACACATAAAGCAAGACTACATATTTTATATTTCCCTTCATCACCATCCTCACTTAACCTGTCTAACTCACTTTTATAGACATCAAAAGGATTTTGGAAATATTCTTTAACATTTACATCTTCTTTTTCGTGATATAAGGAACATAAGAGTGGGAAAAAATCACATTTAGAAGATAAATCATCAATATCTGTCATGCTTGTACCAAGATAGGTTTGTGCTATGTTTGTTTTCTCAACAAACGTAAGACCTAACTTATCTGATATTAAGTTGCATTCACAAGATTTAAAAGGTGATAGTATATTAAACTTTTCATCTTTATAGACTTGTAACCTACAAGATACAATAATCTTACAACATTTGTCTGCAATAATTGTTTTAATCACAGGTAACAGTTGTTTCCAATTCTCAATCTGTTGTTGGTTGGCAGTGAAATTTCCACAAATATCATCTACAATGAAGACTGTCTGTTTACCTGGCTGATAAAAAGTTTTAATGTCTGATGGTATTTCCACTGGTATTATATTGTATCCTTCCTTCTTTAAACGAAGTGCTATATGTCTAGCGATGAATGATTTTCCAACTCCGGATGGGGCAGTTAATGTCACGCAACTGTTATCCTGTAAAAGTTCTATGACGTAATCACTGGCTCTTGTAGACACGAACATCTTATCTCTCTTTTCCCAGTCTTCTATTTGTCTTTTTATCAAAACTATAAACAAAAATGTAGGTGTAGCTATTAAAATGAGGCAATTATTATTTATATGAATTTTACAAATCTTTGCTTGAAGTTTTCATTGTTATTCAACGCAAAATGATTATCAAAGATAACTGGGACGATCGTATTTCACAAAGGATATCTTTTGTTTACTTTTTTACACCCTGATCTTATTCTTTAAGCTCAGGTTCAAATTACCAAACGTAAATCGGGCGCAAGACTAATTAGACACGCCCCCTTAGAATCAGGGGTCCAACATTGGATGGAAAAAAGGCAAGCAAAACACCATCATTTACAATTTCAAATAATAAAATTAATGTGTATTGGATAGATTATCATCATTTCAAAATCTCTTAGGGTGGAAATTCAAACCTGTTCGAAACCTAAAAGATTGGCAGTAATGGGAATTGATTTACAAAATAACTACCAATGTTGTAATTAGATCTTTGAATATAGTTTACATTGGCACTAATATCGATTGTGTCATCAGCAAACTAAAACATAACTAAATTTGTATTCTTTTCAAACGGGATGTATAAAGACACAACCACGTTCATTTTGATCTATAAAGAGGTTAACTCCTAACTATCCTACTGCCTGTCGATACATTTATTTTTGGCATTGCACAAGTCATGTCTTCTTTGACTGTTCATGACGTTAAAATACTAAATCCCTGGGATGTGTTTTAGTTGATTTTAGTTTCTGATGCATGATTTTTTATTATTAATTGTTTTTGGCTTTTAACTTGCTGTCAGTAACTGCGAGTACTCTCAAATCTTCCTTTCTTGGTTATTTGACCTGTTGATACTAATTGTAATGCTTTTTTGTTATTTAATGTTTACTTATTCAGGGTTAAATCTGGTCTATATACCAGCTTTGATAAGTGTTTGGTATTACTACAAATTTTCACTTCTTCGTACTATAAACATCAAAATTATTTATTTTGTAAAAATATTTCCTTTCTCCATTTGAACTGTACACGTATACCTAACAACAAAATTATTTTCATTTACCTGTGTTAAATTAATTGCAATTGGCTGATATTTTTCTTCATGCATATTGTTTTTCTTAAATTGTTTAACATTTCACAGCGGTATAACATGTTACTTTAATTATTCTTCCCTTAGTATATTTATTTTGTATTTACATTGTATCATAGATCAAACTTATTTGTTCAGTGTATGTTCACTGTTGTTAATATGTCTTTTTATTGAGTTAAGCCATTTCAATTGATATTTTATAGTGTGTCTTTCTATGTTGTGATGTCACACTATTGTTTCAGATAAGGGTGAAGGTTTGGTACAATTAAAACGTTTAAACCCGCTGCAATTGTTTGTACCTGTCCTAAGTCAGGAATCTGATGTTCATTAGTTGTCGTTTGTTGATGTGGTTCATAAGTGTTTCTCGTTTCTCGTTTTTTATATAGATTAGACCGTTGGTTTTCCCGTTTGAATGGTTTTACACTAGTTATTTTTGGGGCCCTTTATAGCTTGCTGTTCGGTGTGAGCCAAGGGTCCGTGTTGAAGACCATACTTTGACCTATAATGGTTTACTGTTATAAATTTTGACGTTGATGGAGAGTTGTCTCATTGGCACTTATACCACATCTTCTTATATCTATGTGAATCTCAGGTGAAATTCACGTCAATTTCATCTCAAACGAGCTTATACATGAAACTCACGTAAAATCAGTGTATGTGAGTTTCACATGAATCTCATGTGAAACTCGTGTACATTTAACGTGAAATCACATGAATATTTTTCTCGTGAATTTTTAAATAAAGTTATTCAATTAACATCAAATTTAGTCATGAAAAATATCAATTATTTTTTTGTAAAGTTCACGTGAAATTCACGTGAAAATTTCACATAAGATTCACATGAATCTCAATTACGTGAAATTTACATGAAATTTTTCACGTGAGATTCATGCATAAGCTCGTTCGAGGTGAATCTCACATGAAATTTTTGACGTGACGTGAATTTCAAGTGAGCAAAATTTTCCTGTGTAATGTATGCCTCTTTCTTACGTTGCATCTTAATCAAGTGTGTCTAAGATTTTTTAAATATGTTCTCGGTCGAACGACTGTGCATCTCGTCGAGAGTTTAAGTGGATTTGATAAGTTTGAGTTTGCTTTTACATTGAGAGATTTTATGGTGAAATATATCTGCCCCTACTTGTCTATGGAAGCGTATATGGGCCATGCACTTGATAAATATGTCGAGATAAATGACAAATCTAAATCGATTTTGTTTACATATATTGCAACAAATGGATATAATTTAGAACGATATAACGCATTATTACTCGATAAAACGATTAATATATATTGACTTATTCAAAAAAAATATTTAAATCGATAATAATTTAACTCGATGTATGTTAAAGTGAATATATTTTTTATCAATTTGACGTAATAATGTCAACAACTCTATTTTATTTATCTTCATGTACGAACAAAAATTGCAACATATCGAACAAAAATATGTCGATAAAAAATTTTAATATGTTAAGTGAATATATTTTTTTATCAATTTGTCGTAATAATGTCAACAAGTCTATTTTTTTATATTGATTTTACGAAGAAAAATTGCAACATATCGAACAAAAAACTGTCGATAAAAATTTTAAACACGAGGCCTTGTCATTCGGAACTCGCTTTAAGGACAATTGGCTGGAGATTCACTCAAGCACCAGCAGACGAAGAGTGCGGCTGTGCCAGTGGCTTTTTGAAGGAGGTCATATTATCATTATGAGAATGACAGGTGTTCCTTTCTTTATGGCTTCTTGTTGATTCAACATTTAGTATTATCCCCCGCTTTGTATTGTGATCATGGTGACAGTCTAACCGTCCGTTCGTCCCGTTCCTACATATATCTTAATCCAAGGGCGGATCGAGCCATTTTAAAAAAGGGGGTTCCAACCCAGTAGAAAAGGGGGGGGTCCAAATATATCTCCCCATTCAAATGCATTGATCGTCAAAAATACATGTACTTGTAAGACGGGGAAGACCTTCTAGTTTGCAGTTTTTCGCATAAGAGAGTCCTGGTTTTTTAAATCATATTACACAATTACGCAAATCGCCGTATGGTAATTTGTCATTTACCTAGATTCGGGTTTGGAAAAAGATTTTTATTCTGATTCTACAAAATCTTGTTTTATTTCGGGTTGTAATTGCATATATATATATATGATACACCCTCCCTCGCCCAACAAAGATAATTATTATGATATACAATTTTAAATAATGACAGAATAGTTACGATAAACAGGAGTTTACAGCTAGTTTTAACTGCATAAAATACCATTATTCTGTTTTCATTTCAGATTTCAACAATGCCATTCGCCAACAATAATTTTCCTAGAGACAATGCATCTAGAGATAATTTAATCCGATATTATTTTAGTCAGTTATACACAGTTAAAGATGTTTAAGACATTTTGTCTAATATACATCATATTCAACTAAGTGAGAGACATCTTAAAAGAATTAAAAAGAGACTGAACCTTCAAAGAGCTGGTCAATACAGCCCTATTGAAACTGTTGTTCATCTAATAGTCCGACTTTATGGTGAGGGTTATGTTAATATTGGCTATAGATTCATGTGGAAATTACTAAACGTTATGTGTGGAGTAAGAGTGACACAGGAAACCGTAAGAATTGTAATGGCAGCACTCGACCCTGAAGGCGTGAATGTAAGATCACGAAACAGACTGCGAAGGCGACACTATTCATCTGGGGGCCCTTATTTCACTGTCCACATAGATGGTTATGATAAATTGAAGCCTTTCGATATAGCTATTCATGGGACAATAGATGGGTTTTCAAGAAAAGTATTATGGCTCAAAGCAGGTTACACCAATAATAATCCTAGATATATTGCTGGTTTTTACCTTGATTTTATCAAAAGATATCACCGACTGCCTAGAGTAATTCGGGCAGACGGAGGGTCAGAGAGTCACTAAGCTTTTACAAATGGCATTACGTTATAACCATAATGACCGACAATCTGGTACTAATAGCTTCATCACGGGAAGATCTACTTCTAACCAAAGAATTGAACGTTTATGGGGTAGCCTTAGCGCTTGGTGCATTCAATTTTGGAGAATCTGTTCAGACACATGCGAGATCATGGAATTTTGCGAGAAATAGATCCAGTTCATATTGAAAGCCTGAGATTCTGCTTTATGCCATTGATTCAAAAACAGGTAGATGATTCCGTTCACATCTGGAATTTACACAGAACTCGAAGTCAGCGTAACACAGAAACGTTTTCAGGGATACCTAACATCATGTTTTATCAACCAGAAACATTTGGAGCACAAGACTTTTCTGTGATGCTCCCATGTAGTATTGAAACAATAGAGAGAGTATTAAATGACTTAATTCTTCGTTACTCTGAGTTCGGATGTAGAGATGAATTCATGGATGTTATTGAGGTATTAACAGGAACGATGAGGCATGACTTTCCTTTTCC